GATTGCATGCCACTGGTGATGGGGATGCCATACAGATTCATGTCAAAAATACCGAACTATCCCTTTAAGCAGATAAGCTGCGTTTCATGTCAAGCAGATGGAAGAGGGCACTTAACTATGACATGCAAAAAGGCATTGGAAAAACACACTGTTAGGTTTATGCTTTATACATCATGTGCATTGTTACTTTGCTAGCCGGATTAGAGTCGGAGAGTAGATGGCCTTCCTTCGCATTGTGGATGTCACTGTGTGTATGGAGGTCATCTAATCAGGACAGCCTTTGTGTCTTTAAGAATACACAGGATATGGGCACATCTTGGAGCCGGTCTGATAGAGGAGAGCTATCTGTAACCCTGAGGCATACAGGCAAGCTGCATATGGGTCAGGGCATTGATGGCGTGTCAGTTTCTGATATGGACAGCTAAGCATCCACCTGATGCAACACATAGACTCATGAGGTATAAGAAGCAGGAGATGACCTTGTTCGGGGCTCAATCTTTGCTGGACGCTCGCGGACGTGATTTTTGAGCCCACAGCTGTGCAAGCTCCAAGCATTTTTCTCTGTCCTGTAACAACCTGATCTGGAATAAATTCTGTTACTTTTGTACTCCTGTTTTATAGTCCTTTTTTATATGATTTTACCAAGTTTGAGTTAAGAGTAGTAACTAACTTGCTCCCAGGAAAAGAACCGTAAGGAAGCCCAGAGGCGCAACAGCTTTTAAGAGCACATAACTTCCTCAATTAACAACACCAAAGGAACCAAACACCAACTGATGGCTAACAGAAGAGTCACTTGAGACTGCAGAAACAGACAAACAGACCTGTGCACAGCCTGGGTTGATTACAAGAAAGCCTATGACTCAATGCCACATGTAGATCCCGGTGTATGAAGATGTAAACGGCACATTAAGAGCCTTTATTGCAAACTCCATAGGGGTGTGGAAAACCACACTTTAAGCCAACTTCAAGCCAAACTGCTCCCTGAGCACTGCACAGTGGCAACCCACTGCTGCCCAAGTGGATGGGTTAAATGCAGAGGTAAATTTCTCCAGTGTGAGATCAATAAAGTTCAATTATTATTGTTATTAATTCACCAAGAGGAGATCACACTAACAGAGGGGAGGAGATGTAGAGGTGAGCTACAGGTACCTTTGAATGGGAAAGCAGCAACAAGAGTGGAGTGGCGGCCTAGACTTCCACTCTGGCTTTCTGAGCAAGACCCTTAACCCCTGATTGCTCCTTGTGCACCCCGTGATGGCCGCCCACTGCTCCCCAAGGGGATGGGTTAAATGCAGAGGTACATTTTCCAATGTGAGACCAATAAAGATAAATTATAACCCACTATTATTATTAACAGCCAAAATACCTGCAATGAGTAAAATCTGAGAAATCAGCTCAATGGTAAGAACAAGGTCCAGGCAATCAACAGCGATGCCTTTCCAGTAATCAGATATCATGCTGGGATCATAAGTTTTCCCAAGGAGGAACTTCAGGCCACTGATGTTGAAACAAGGAAGCTGCTCACTATGCATGGTGGATTCACCCCAATCCAGAATGTGCAGTAAAAGTAAAGAAGAAGCAAGAGGCATAGTGAGCATCAGAGCCACTATTGAAGATGAAACATCCAAACTCCCTAAGAATACATCAAGAAGGTTACCAAAGGGATGAAGCCCTCAGTGAATGTCTCAGATAGTGGAAAGCTGGAAGGGAAGGAACCACCATGGGAAGAAAAATCCCTGCATGGGATGTACCACCGATAGATAGCTGAAGTGACCAAATCCTACCAATGACTACAGAAGCTGTGATCATGGCAGCACAAGGAACAGGCACTGAGCATCAGAGCAATAGAGGCTCAGATCTACCAAACCAGGCAAGAGCCCAGGTCAGGATATGCAACGAGGCCCCAGAAACAATCCAGCATCTCACAGCAGGGTGGAAGATACTGGCAGGAAAGGAGTACATGAAATGTCATAACCAAGTGTCTGGTTGTCCGAATGGGAGCCACCTCCCAAGGTGGGGAAGAACAGAGCTAAGATCCTGTGGGGCTTCAAGATACACACTAACTGGTTGTATCCAACCAACCGGACAATGTGATCATTGATAAGCAGCAGAGGACGGCTGTAGTGATGGACGTGGCCATTCCTAATAGTTTTGTGTCGATGCCATTTTTTGGCCCCGAAACAAATACCTGGCTGTATTGTATTGGCCCATACCGATACCTTCTGTTTGAAATTGACGTGTGTGTGTATATATGAAGAACTGCATACTACTTGGATATAAAGTTATTGCCATCCAGAGGCGTAGCCAGAACATTTTAATAAGGGTGGCCAGGCAATAACTAATATACACAGAGGGGGGGCCGAAAGCGGATAGGTACCAGAACCTCAGGGTCAAACTACACCGTTCCAAAAGGAAAATGAATGAGCAAAACATCCATATTTTCTAAATAAAGACAAACTATACTTTCCTACTGTCTTTGCTAACAAACAGATGCATATATTTAAACATCCATGCTGTCTAAATTAAAGCTGTAGTGGACAGCTTCTTTCAGTTTTGAGTTCTGTGGCGAACATCTTTATAGTCGTCATTACTAACCTACTTTTATTAATCATTCAGCATAAATGTATATTTACGTGTACTAATATCTACATTAAATGGATTACTTAATATTAAAGTAGTCATTTATCTCTGATTTCAGTGAAGATTCCTAGATGACTTGCAAAGACATAATTTCCTCTTAACCCCATATTAGACAAAATTTAGTTCTGAAAAGAGCATGAATTCTGTATTTATCTTTAATGTTAGTATATTGATGTGCAGAATTAGCCACAAGGTTTTTGTTGTCAGGTTTTTGTTTAGATATAGAAAATTAAAATGTTAAATAAGTTAGAATATTCCACTTAAGTGTATTACCGCTGCCACCACCTGTATTATAGGGAATAAATGGTAGCGGGGCCACAGGGGTGGCCAATGATTGGGCAAGGGTGGCCATGGCCACCCCTGGCCCCCCATCTAGCTCCGCCCCTGTTGCCATCATGTCTTTGTCAAGCTGCTGCCTACCTTTGTGAAGCAGGAAAAAGACTGATAGAAAGTGAATCCAGTAGAACTTTTTTATTGCCTATAGGGTGACAATAGTTGAATAAACTTTTGGCTCTCAAAATGGTATCGGCGCCCTACTTGATACTTGCTGGTACCACCATTTTAGTGCTGGATCGGGGCCCTGCCTGATACTGGTATCGGTGCAACACTAATCCCAAATGATGGAAACACAATAGAACACGAGAAATTGGAAAAACACCAAGTGGTCCGGGAAGAGAGCTAAAGGTATGCANGAAACACAATAGAACACGAGAAATTGGAAAAATACCAAGGGGTCTGGGAAGAGAGCTAAAGGTATGCAGCTCCTTGTGCATGGATTTTCTTTTTGAAAGTTGACTGAGTTTTTATCTTTAAATGCTTTTAAGTTGAAAGTTAAATAATTTGAAGCAGCCTCTATGATCTGTAATTGTTTTATTTGATATGTTTTTTTTTATGTATGTCATTTAATATAATGTATCTCTGTTTATTATATAGCTTTTCTGTCTCTTTGCCAGGATTCCCTTGGAAAAGAGGTTTTTAAATCTCAATGGGATTTATTTCCTGGTGAAATGAAGGTTAAATACAGAAATAAAAATGCGCAGTGACTATAGCGCCTTTGTTCATCAGAGATCTCAGCCCAGAAGAGTGCAGCTCTAGGGACAGCTAAGATCCTGAGGAGAACCCTCAAGCTCCCAGTCCTCTGGTAGAGGACCTGAGATGGAGATGGAGATACACACCCCACCCAGGAGGACGAGGGGTGGCTGATATATCGCAGATTATCGATTTTATCCATTGATGTAATTTTTTAATTGATGAACACTGAATTCATGAAATAAATTTTTTATTTATTTTTTTTGACCAAATAACTTCTTGATCTTCCATAGCTCAGATTAACATCAGTTAATCACATTTTGTTCTAAGATGTGCACTCATCATCACTTCACTCATCACTCATTTTTCACAGCCTCTGTTTTTTTGAAAGCACGTAATAAGTATTTTTTTTATAAAAATTATTTAAGAAAACAAAAATAGATCAATCAAATTTGGTAAGAACATTTGGAGATTCGACTTCTAAGCCATACCTCCAGACTTTAAATAAATAAATAAAATATATAGACATGCAAGGATTATATCTAGTGTTGCTACTTTAGAATTATGTTAAATTTATATGAAAGTGATGTTTGTTTGCTTTGTCTACTGATTAAAAAGATGCAAAACCAATAATAATTGACATAATGAAAAATTATGTGTATAAAAATATATCTTCTGTTATTGAATGAACCGCACAGCAGTGGGTCAGATGTGGGAAGCAGCTGAGTCCCAGCAGGCTGCTCTCTGTCAGTCTCTGCATCACTGCCTTTAGAAAACACCATCAACTTTACAAATACGAGAAGAAACCACAGAAACGTGGAGGGGATTAAGAAATCTGTTGAAAAAACAACAACAACAACAACAAAAAAACAGCCCCGGATAGGAAGAAACGCTCTTCCGAAGCCCTTCAGGAGAACAGCGGCTGACAGGACGCAGCCCAGTCCGAGGTCTGAAGGCCTCGATGGTTTCTTTATTCTCCCACGGTGCTGCATCCTTCCAATAATCCAGGTAAGCGGCCTGATGTCTAAATACACGCGAGTTTAACTGAACTTTCATTCAGCAGAGACAAACCATGAAGCCCACGCGACCTCTGTCACACTTAGCATTAGCATGCTAACAGCCGCAGGTGGATTAGCTAACGGCTAACGGTTAGCTCAACCTTAAATATACAGTTAGGTCAATATCATACGTGCTTTAAAACACAACATTTTAAAAATATGTCTGTCAGCCAACTTATTACCCAACTTGTACGTTACTTAAAATCATACTATCAGTAAATAAAACAGCTAACGTCGCACTGTTGTCATGTTAGCAACGAGATGGAGAAATATCGTTTTGCTGCATCTGAGTGATCAAACATGCTTCAAAAGTTTTTATAGACTTTTACTTTAAAATGTCACCAAATTAAGGTGTTAGATATAAAAGAATCATCATGTTAACGTATATAACTAACAGCTGTTGGCTTATACTTCTCTGTTTATAGTTATTAATGGCTCTGATTGGTTTTAAAACATTATAGGCTGGTGGGGAGTTTGTGATTAAAGTTTGCGTTTTCATATCACGTCGGGGTCAATAATGTCCAATTTGTGAGAATAAGAGACAAATATATCTGCTCCAACACAGAATAACAAAGATATTGGATCCCAAATTGCTATGACAACCACAGCTACGTCAGATACTTTATTTGTTTTTTCTAAATGACAGATCTCTATTCACCGTATAATTATTCACAGATATGTTGATTTGCATTAAAGTCTTCTTAAAAAGCACAGGAAAGGACCCTTTACTTGTTTTATTATAGGGCACACCAAAATGTTTTGTTCATTAAATATATTATTGTTCGACAAAGAAAATCCAAGTTTAAGAAACCCTCAATCAGAACCTGGTTCACAACATGAAGTAGGGGGGATTTTCTAAATGAGCAAAGCTCAAGAACTTTGTTTATAGAAAGCAAAGTATCTGAGGACAAATACAATTAACTAGTAAGAAAACATGACGATGACGATCAGTAATTGTGTGCCAGGACATTTGGTTTTATTAATAGCATAAACAACGTGGTGGATCTAGTCTGGTGGGCTTTAGCTGTCTTATGGGTCTGATCTAGATATCTTTGCGTAACTGTTGGGGCCATAAATTCTATTTTCTACTTTCAAATCTACACAGAATAAGCACACTTGGGTTTTGCTGTAGAATCCTAATAAAAAAGCCCACAAGTTCACGTCCAAATGCATGGCCTATTCAAAAGCTCAATTTACACGACCGCTTTGAAACCATGCTGAGATCGGTCCGAGCATGGTAACTGTTCAGTTTAAATGGTATGCAGAACTGAACCGGACTGCACCAGACATAACCAAACCGCGCTAACATGGTACTATGTCATCAGTAGGGCTCGGCACGGTTCAGTTCTGGCTCAGTTCTCTGATAACAAAGAGGACATGAGCAGACCGTGTCATGTCCTTACAGTCAGCCTCCGTAGTAGTGTTGCGCCGATGCCATTTTTTGGCCCGATACCTGGCTGTGCAGTATTGGCCGATACCGATACCATCTGTTTGAAATTGATGTGTGTGTACATATGAAGAACTGCATACTACTGGGATGTAAAATAATTGCCATCATGGCTTTGTCAAGCTGCTGCCTACCTTTGTGAAGCAGGAAAAAGACTGATACAAAGTGAATCCAATAGAACTTTTTATTGCCTACCTGGAATGGGTGACTATAGTTGAATAGACTTTTGGCTTTCAAAATGGTATCAGTGCCCTATTTGGCGGTACTCGCCGATACAGATGCCACCATTTTAGTGCTGGAACGGGTGCCCCGCATGATACTGGTATGGTATCGGTGCAACACTACCCCGTAGTTATGAAATTTCAGACCTTCAGAAAAATACAAGCTTCTGCTTAGCAGAAAAAACTTCTGTAGTTGTTTCCTGCATCTGGAAGCCCTGATTAGACTATCGTTTGTCGTATCCAATTCCCAAAAGCCGACTCTGTTTAACTGAGCCTTCTTCTCCTGGCTCTCTGGAAACTTCCTGAATATTACGGGCGGCGTAATATTACTAGGAGGTGAGGAACCGTGCCAGCGTGGGGTGTAAATGGTCGCAAGGAACCAATCTCCGCACAGATTGGTTTGCAGAGGGTAGGGTAAATGAAGTTAGAGTCTGAGATGCTTTGGCTTTTTTTTGTTTTTTTCTAAACAGGCCATTAGACGTTTCTTGTATTGAAATTGGCATTTGAAAACTTCTCCATTTGTATGCTCACTTTATCTTTCTTAGAAATAAATGAATAGTTTGTTGACTAGAGAATGACAAAAAGTCAAAGCATATCAATCTTTTAGGCCAATAATCTTTTTTGTACATTTTATTTTCATGGCTCCTCAGTCTGTTTTCTGCCTGATTCCAACAGGAATTAGGTGAACCGAGATGGCGGACAGCGCGGGGCTGCAGTTTGTCAGCTCCTTCGCCTTCGAAGCCATGCAGAAGGTTGATGTGCTTCGTCTCGCAGCCCTGAGTGACCCCGAGCTCAGGCTTCTGCTTCCCTGTCTGGTGAGGATGGCGTTATGTGCCCCTGCAGATCAGAGTCAGTCATGGGCGCAGGATAAGAAGCTGATCCTGCGCCTGCTGTCTGGAGTGGAAGCAGTCAACTCCATCGTAGCGCTTCTCTCTGTGGACTTTCATGCTTTGGAGCAGGATGCACGGAAGGAACAGCAGCTCAGGTATTGCTGATGAGGGATTTTTTACTACGAGTTAATCTGTGCCTAGTGTCCACTGTAATGTCCATTTTCACAATCATTTTTTATTTATTTATTTTTTAACCAGACACAAGGCAGGTGGCTCCAATGGAGAAAGCATCCTGGTGTCGCAGCTGCAGCATGGACTGACCCTGGAGTTTGAACACAGCGATCCCCTCAGAAGGCTCCGTTTGACTCTCAGCGAGCTGCTGGCCATCATGAATAAGGTCCTCACAGGCCGTTGGCCCGAAGCTTTTCTAAGCTTTTAACTGGAACCATCATTTATAGACGCACGTTCATTTGTTTTAGTGAGGCCGTTTCTCAATATGTGTACTTGTGTGTTCTCATGTCCGCGTAAAACGTCCTAGTGCTGTTCCAATTCACAAGAAAAGCAGACCGAGAATGGAAAAAGTACCCGGATGTTGTTCCCGCCCCTCCCTATATACCCAGCATGCATCAGAGCAGACTTGTCTGTTGTTGAGATTGACCGCTGTCCCAGCATGCACTGCGGCAGCAGCAGCTTTCAATGGAGCGCTCCATTGAAAGTTAAAAGTTCTCTTTTCTGTTGCTGTTGTTCAATAAAAAGATGTTTTAAGATCATTTGAGGCGAGAATATATACATTAAAGCATCACTACATGATTCGTTTACTGATTTAATGCGTAAGTTCAAAAAAAATTTCTGAAGTTGAGAGGACTGCGGCAACCAGCGGACCTCCGAGGCTAACCGCAGCCAGGTCTAATCCTAGTCCGTCTGCAGCAGCCCTCTCTCTGCATAGCCGTGTGTGAAGGACCGCTGGCTTTTCATTTGGCAAAATGTTAATTTGATTTGTGTTTATCTGACTGTTCATTATTATTCCCCCACTAAACGAAAAAGTAATAATTTATTATTATCTAGAGACCCATAATAACAGGAGGTGAAATGCAGCTCTAGATGAGCCGAGCATGTGGTGACGTCATGAGTACGCTTCTGTTCCAATTCACCCATTCATATTTATGCTGCGTGCTTCCGTTCTCACCAAGTCCAGACTTTCCTGTGTTCTTCTCAAGAACATACTTGGCGAGGACACGAGTCCGTACTAGTGTTCTTGTGAATTGAGAAACAGCCTGAACCTGCGTTACGTGTGGGTTACAGTTCCACACTACTGAATTAGAAAATGTTGGCTAGTGTCAATGAAAGGTTACACCTTGAAGCGGTTCTTTTCCTGAGAAGAGATCACTCAAGACAAAACCTTTAAATAACGCTTCATAATATATATGTATTAGATAACCAGGAGGCATGACAACAGATTTTGACAGAAATTGTAATCTTACTCAGACCAGAGAAGTTGCTTAGGGTTACAGAAGGCAAAGCTTACCAATCGGGCTCACATCTCATGAAGTGGCCTAAAATCAGAGTTAAAGAACCATTTTATTTTTATACAACTCCAGTATTCCACATCGTCACATCATTACGTCATACAGGTTTTCAGATGAGGACACATCCATGGAATCCAAGCCTTATGTAAATATTATACTTCATTAGTAGATCGAGGACACCGCTCTCATTCCATCCCGAAGTCTTTGCCACCTGCATAATAAAGATGATTTTTTTAACCTGATAGAGGAGCTGTCTTAATTAGATAAACTTTGGTGGAAAACATCAGTTCTGACATGCAACATGCAGGAATTATTAGGGTTAAACAGACTCACACATCATCAATAAGAATAATCCTAACAGTAATGAGGCAAAACTGCTAATTAAGAGCTGCTGAATAAAATACTTGAATGAAATAAAACTAAACCAGATGTTCAAAGTTGTTTTTTTATATTGTTTCTCAGGTGGCAGATTCCAACGGGGAGTTTTTCTTAAAGTCATCTGAGCTCTTCGAGAGCCCCGTGTATTTGGAAGAGGTGGCAGATGTCCTCTGTATTTTACAAGCAGGTAATAAAATCCACATTTTGGTCTTTGTCTTGTCGGAGATAAACTACATTTTGTTGCTTAATAATAATATTTGAACTTGCCTGGACCTTGTTCTTACCATTGAGCTGATTTCTCAGAACTTACTCATTGCAGGAATTTTGGCTGTTAATAATAATAATGGGTTATAATTGAACTTTGTTGATCTCACATTTGAGAAATTTACCTCTGCATTTAACCCATTCCCTTGGGGAGCAATGGGCTGCCATGGTGTGGTGCCCGGGGAGCAGTGTGGGGTTAAGGGTCTTGCTCAGAGCCGGATAGGCAGTCTGTTGGAGTGGGTTTCGAACTCACAACCTCAGGATTCTATGCCCTAACCACTAGGCCACCACTCCCCCATGCTTTTTATATTTGACATTTCAATGAAAGTAACGTTGAATTCTATTCCGTTCCATTCTATTTTATAAGGTTGGTATGTGCCAATACAGCTTTTTAAACCTTTAAAGTTGTAGGGAAGTCATATTTAAATGTCAAATCATTCTGGCTTAAACATGTTTATAAATGTACTCTGTATCAGACCATATTGTCCCAAAAGTTTGAAAATTTCTGTTTTTAAAAAAAATCCTGTCTTAAAATCTGTGTTTTTTGTTGTTGTTTTTTTTCCCGCTATCTTATGCAGGCCAGTTAGTTATACGTCAGCCTGAACACATAAATTCGGCCAATCATATATCAACGGTCATCTGTCAATTATATTTTTTCAGTCATAGCGTCTTAATTCATATGTCGCAGCTAATATACGCAACGGTCGAAATAAGAAATAAGAATCCTTTCCTTTCCCTTTGAGTTGCGTCCTAGTGTTCACGGGGATGGACGTCTGTGTCTTCAGCAGGCGTAGAGCTAACAGAACTGGCAGCGTTGCGAGGCAAGGGCTCAAACATGTACGGCTGGAAGTCTTCTACACCAAACCAAGCTTCTGCCGCCCTGGCGTCCTCTTCCACAACATCTTTGTCCCGCTTTCCTCCTCTAAATAAAAAATGGATGACGGAGGAGACTCATCCACGACCTCCGACACTAAACTCTCCTCCTCTTGCATGTTTTCGCTGTCCATAGCGTTCCTAGACAGTGCTGTTGCTAAGTACTACTTGGTCCCAATGTCATTTCCCATTGGGAACCTACTAGCACAAAGTTGCTAATTGGTTAGCAAGATGCTTCCGGCCACAAGCACTTAATTGGTGACTTAGAAACCCACCGATTTTAAGACAGGATTCTTTTTAAAGATAGAAATTTTCTACATTTTGGGACAATTTGGTCTGATAAAGAGTACATTTATATACATGTTTTAGCCAGAATGATTTGACATTTAAATATGTCTTCCCTAGGACTTAATAAACAAATAAAAAAATTAATTTTCATAAATTTTTGAAAAAGCTTCAGGGAGCCACAAGAGCCCCATGTTTTTGACCCCTGATTAAACTGAACCTCTTGTCAGCAGATGGAGGACAGTTTGTTGCTCCAGCAGGGCAATCAACAACATCTAAATTGGCTTTTGAGTTGATATAGCGGGCTAACATGGAGCTTTTAACTGATTCTCTTCAAATCAGATTTACCAGTTGTTAATTGCACCAAACGTATGTGATCTCGATACTGTTTGTGATCTATTATAACCTTTTATTTGCTTGAATTAAAATTTGTAAACGTTGCCTTAAAGATCATGACAGTTGTATCTTTTATCATCTGTCAACCCTTTTTAAAATACTGCAAATCTCCAAAAACGTAATTGTCATTTATGCCAATTTTCCTATAAAATCTCATCAGGTTTAATTAAAAAATGAATCCCTGAGTATATCTGCGTGTTAATGTTGACGCTCTTTGTGTCCCTGTGCGTCCTCAGAGCTGCCTTCTTTGCTGCCCATCGTGGACGTAGCAGAGGCTTTGCTTCATGTCCGCAACGGCGACTGGTTTATGTGCCTGCTGGTCGCTAACGTTCCAGACAGCTTCAATGAAGGTAGGTCCATCATGGCGGACTGCACAGATTGCCTGCAGACTGTGTCAACGAGTAGCGGGTTCATTTGCAGGACTGATATGGTCACTAGTGGCTGGCTTTATTATAATATTTTTAAGGCAAATTAAACTTTTTCATGACTCCAGTAAATCCTCGCCCTGTTAATTATAAACCGCCACCGTCCCTAGCGGTGTTTGCTTTCACCTTTGATGATAAACATTCAATCCTCTGGCTTCCAGATGGAGCTGTGTGTGCTTTAAGAAACAAATTAAAGGAGATATTTTGTCTCCAGCGCCTCCTTATCTCAGACGGGGCCAAGTCAGTGAAGTACGTACCAGTTATCCTTAAGGAATCCTTTTGGCATTATGGTTAGAAAGACTTTATTTAAATCAATCAGCTGATAATCATCGTGTACTTTACTGAGTTTTTTAAAATTATTATACATAGAACAGATGTTGGATTTCGCAGAGAGAGGAAACTGATATGATTTGAGGCCGTTCCACAGTCTTATTCAGTCATAACATTTTACTTTATAAGCTGTCTGCTGAGGGGGAACTGAAGGGAAAATGAAATAATGCCTCCCTGATGAGATTAGAATCGTTCCTCCGACGGCAAATGAGTCATGATTCTGGGGTTTAAAGCGCTAATGGAGGACGAGGCTGTGACACAGCAAAGGGAAAGTCCTCTAAATGCCTTGGAGGTGCTGAGATGTGGCTGTGTTTGGTGGTAGTTTGCAGAGGCCTGATCAAGAACGGAGAACGACAGGACGAGGAGAGCGTGGGGGGTCGGCGCAGAACCGAAGCCCTCAGGCAGCTCTGCCAGATGAATCCCTCGCAGGCCCTGAACATCAGAGCCATGGTGGTAAGTCGCACTATAATTCCAATCAATGGAGGATGAAACGGGGCTGTTTTCTGGGGTTTATCTTTACTTGCCTTGGTTTCCACTTTAACTTAAGAAATAAAACAACTTTGCTTTACTATTTACCTCATATATATTACTATAATGTGGACACCCAATCTCATTCAAAGAGTTTTCTTTATCTTCATGACTATGAAAATGGTAGATTCAAGCTGAAGGCATTGAATCTATGAATTAACACACATGGAATTATATACTAAACAAAAAAGTGTAAAAATAACTGAAAATATGTCATTTATTCTTGGTTCTTCAAAGTATTCACCGTTTGCTTTCATTACTGCTTCGCACACTCTTGGCATTCTCTTGATGAGCTTCCAGAGGTCGTCATCTGAAATGGTCTTTCAACAGTCTTGAAGGAGTTCCCAGGGATGCTTAGCACTTGTTGGCCCCTTTGCCTTCACTCTGCGATCCAGCTCGCCATAAACCATCTCCATTGGGTTCAGGTCCGGTGATTGTGGAGGCCTGGTCATCTTGCCCAGCATCCTATCACTCTCCTGCTTGGTCAAATATCCCTTACACAGCCTGGAGGTGTGTTTAAATAAATGATGGTCCAACCAAACTCAAACTGGAAGGAATAGCATGCTGCTGCACGATGCAGTGTCACCAGCAAACCACCCCCACACCATCACACCTCCTCCTCCATGCTTCACGGTGGGAACCAGGCATGTAGAGTCCATCCGTTCACCTTTTCTGTGTCGCACAAAGACATGATGGTTGGAACCAAAGATCTCAAATTTGGACTCATCAGACCAAAGCACAGATTTCCACTGGTCTAATGTCCATTCATTGTGTTCTTTATCCAAAGCAAGTCTCTTCTGCATGTTGCCTTTCCTTAGCAGTGGTTTCCTAGCAGTTATTTTACCATGAAGGCCTGATTCTCACAGTCTCTTTTTAACAGTTGTTTTAGAATCTGCTGCTAGATCTCTGTGTGGCATTGATCTGCTCTCTAATCTGACCTGCTCTCTAATCTGAGCTGCTGTTAACCTGCAATTTCTGAGGCTGGTGACTCGGATGAACCTATCCTCTGCAGCAGAGGGGACTCTTGGTCTTTCTTTCCTGTGGCGGTCCTCATGTAAGCCAGTGTCTTTGTAGCGCTTGATGGTTTTGTGACTGTATTTGGGGACACTTTTTAAAGTTTTGCCAATTTTTCAGACTGACTGACCTTCATTTCTTAAAGCAATGATGGCCACTCCTTTTTCTTTACTTAGCTGCTTTTGTCTTACGATAATGCAGATTCTAACAGTCTATTCAGTAGGGCTATCAGCTGTGAATCAACCTGACTTCTGCACAACACAACCGATGGTCCCAACCCCATAAGGCAAGGAATCCCACTTATTAAACCTGACATGGGACACCTGTAAAGTGAAAACCATTTCAGGTGACTACCTCTGGAAGCTCATCAAGACAATGCCAAGAGTGTGCGAAGTGTAATCAAAGCAAAAGGTGGCTTCTTTGAAGAACCTAGAATATAAGACATATTTTCAGTTGTTTCACACTTTTTTGTTGCGTATATTATTCCAGATTTGTTAATTCATAGTTTTGATGCCTTCAGTGGGAATCTATAATTTTCATAGTCATGAAAATAAAGAAAACTCTTTGAATAAGAAGGTGCTTCCAAACATTTGGTCTGTACTGTAGACCTTTTCTGTGTTTCTCTTTTGACCCTCAAATGTTTCAGATTTTAAATAAATGTTATATATTATAAAAACTAAACTAAATAAACAAGTAAATGTTCCAGAGGATATTTTAAGTTGTCCGGAAAGGGAAAGCTTCCTAAATCTGTGAGATGTGTCACCTGATGTAGGTCAGGTAGATTGGGAGGTCTCCTCCTGATTCAGAAAGCATGAATAATAATATTTAGGTATTTCTAACCAATAACAAATATTCTCTGTACAAAAACAAACAGATTAACAGTCTATAGAGAACAGGAGGTGTCGTAGTTTTGCGCTACTGTTGATTTAAATTATTCTGTTCCTTTAGAAACATCAACCTTGTTGCATTCAGTGTTTGTGGGAAACGCTTAGATAAATTGGACCTAAATGACATAAACATCTCATTTCTTTGCTACAGTAGAAACAAACAAAACAAAGGGCTCCTAATAAAAAGCAGACGGTGTAAATCTGCAGCCTCCCAGAAATGTTTTGGTTTGGTTCAGTCTCATTTGCATCAGGCTCACTCTGTTTTCTTTAAGGTTCCTGTGTTATTATTAATGGTAAATGCCAGAAAAGCTTATTAGCACATTTTTCTACATCTTGTCCTTTCTGTGTGAGGGCATGGTTATGTGCCCAGATTGGATTGTTTGTAGAAACACGGTAAATGCTTCAGTCTAAGAGTCTCTGTTTGGTGAAATGCTGAATCTTTGCACAGAGACTGGAATAACGATAAAGAACACCCGGTCTCTAAACTGATATACGGTGTAAATCTGATCACTAACTTGTGTAATTGGCTCTGTTGCCCTGTCAACCCTTTTCTCTACCAAGATGGACTCTCATGGTAGAGGTTAGCGAGAGAGATTTGTCTCCTCGCTGATTTATGTTGTGATACACGCTGCGGTGTGAACCCTGAGGGGAGAAATTTGTCTTCTGGCTTCCGTTGCTCCTCTAGAGGAGGTTACATGGTTGGGTCAGTTATTGAACAAGGCCCCAGGAGGCTGTGAAAATTCATTGCTCTGCAGAATGATGTCTCAGCACGACTCGTCTCCTGCAAAGTATTTTAGTTTTTGTAGCGTTTCATGGTGCGATCCCAATCTCTGGGTTCCTACAAACATCTGAAAAAGAGTTTTTTCTTTTTATTGTTTCTAGGTCTTCCTATATATGAAAAATAAAGTTGCATTTCTTTATTTCAAAACTAGCTTTTAAATATAGTTTTTAATCGAGATGGACTCCATAAGCACTAACATGTGATCATCATATTTACTCCTCCCCTTGTGTCCAGGTGGAGGAGTGCCACCTGCCTGGTCTGGGCGTGGCGCTCACTTTGGACTACAAACCCGATACGGCGGACGAGGCGGTGAGCCCGCTGGTGTCCTACGTCAGCGGTCTGCTGCTGGGAACCAACAGCAAAGTCCGTACCTGGTTCAGCATGTTCATTCGCAACGGACAACAGGTGAGCAGGAAGTGGGTCGCCCCATAGCTTCACCCCTTGTTCCTCTGCAGGCAGCCATGAGGAAAAGTGTAAACATGACCTAAAAGCTTTTATTAAAGCAATACAAGATAAGTTATACCAGTAGATAGAACTAATATTGGAGAAAAATATTCAATATAGATATCATACATTAAAATTACTGTAAGCTGTTTAGTTTTACTACATTTAAATAAGACATTAGCTGTCTGCGAACGTCCGCCCCTAAATCCCTCAATCACTATAAAGAGCGGGGACTAAATAGTGGACTTTATAGTGAAATCGGTTAACTGACCGTTCCAACAGATGATCACTGTTTTTTCTCTGTTGGTCACGTAACTCCTCCCTGCGCCATCTTTGTTATTAGTTGCACAGTGACAGTAAATCCCATAATTCTTTGCATGGAAAGCATTCTGGGATATATCTGCCCGTCTAGTGACCATGTATGATCACTACTTTCAAGGAGCATTTTGGGAAATTTCAAGTCCACTACTTTTTAAACCACTAGATGTTGGTACACTCATTTCAAATGGCGTAACCACTAGGGCTGGGTATTTTGGCCAAAGTCCTGAATCGATTCGATTTCGATTCATACAGTTCTAAATCGATTCAACTGTTTATTTTTTCCTGTCATATTAAACACAAAGTGCAAACTTGTAAATCAGACAGTTTAAACTTGAGATGTGTACAAAACTGTCTCAAAAGTGCAAACTTGTTTTCGAAAAGTGAAAAAGTGAAGTCTCACTCGAGCAAGCAGACGTGACACAGCAGACATTCATTAGCTGCATTATCTCCACTGCAAAAACCATATTTGCAGCGTTGTCTGTATCAACTACAGGGTGTTTGCTGGTCAGCCTTCATTTGTTAATCTCTTCAGTCAACCTATTGGCTTTATTTAAAGCTGTCTGGCTTGAAGCCATCTTGGACTGTAGCACGAGATGCGAGGTGCCACTAATCATCAATGTAGAGGGAAGCCACCTTAATGTCACATATCCAGCACATTATCTTTAGCCGTTTTAAATCCAAAATGGTTCCAGACATCAGACTTCAGTTGGGACAGCTTGCTGAGCGGTGTGTTACTTGGGTCGGCATTTGAAAGTGACGTCACATGCGTCATTATAAAACTAATCGATCTCATTCCCTAAACATCGATTTTGCAAAAATCGATGTCCTGGGTAGATAACATATGCTAGGTTCTTTAGCTGGAGTTGCGTCCAACCAAAACAGCAATGATTAACATTAAAACTGAAGCACTTTGAATTAATGACAATGTAGAAATCTAAACAACTCATTCTGACAACTTAGTTTATCATCCTTCTTGTTTTCAGTTCTTGGTTGTATGCAGAAACTTCAAGCTGACATTAAAGCTTGGGCTAAAATAAAAACGTCTTTGAATGTTTTGTATTTTCAAGTTTGACATTTTAAACACATTGCGGCAACTTGTATTAAGAAAGCCTGAATATTGATTGAAATACAGTAGTAGCCATTCAAACTTTCCCCACTTTCCTTGATGCGCCTTTGGCTGCACCTTTGCTGGTCCCCCTTTAATTTCTTTCTAAACATCAATCTTTGTACTAAAACATTCTTTCTGTCATGATTTGTGGACATTAAGATCTAAAAGACACGTCATCTGCTGGTCAGACCCTGTGTCCCCCCAGTGGCTGGAAGTTGGAGGGGATTTTGCTGGGAGCAAAATCCCTTCGTAGGGCCATTTTGAATGGCTGCTACTGTATCAAGTATTGATTCTCAAGATTTACAATCTATTCTTTTCAATCCAGTTCAGTCTAAAATTGGATTGCTGGTATTTAAAATTTTTTTAGCTACTGTCATATGTAATTGACTGTGTAGTTAAGCATCAGATTGATACTAGTATTAGTAATATTTATAATAATAATAATAATTATAAGTAAATTAAGGTAATGTTGGTTAAGGGCAGCTGGAAGGACAGTTGGATCATTGTTTTAGATCCCACCGCAGCGATGCTGCGTTTTATCTGGCAGAAAAAAACAGCAAGCACTCTAATCATCAGTCAGTTCAGCATAAAAGACCACTGGGTCAGATTAGGATTTCTATACAATCTGAATATTCCCACTACCATGCTGACTCATTTTCATTCTCATCTGCCATTTAATTTGTTGATTTATGTCGCTGTAAATTCAGTCAGGGGTTTTCCATCCAGTGTCTCTGAAAAATAAAAATGCACCTGGCTATTTTCAACATAACATAACATTAAATGATTGAATTATTCATTTGAAATGTGTTTTTAATTATTTAATGGAACATTTGTTTCTGTATTTTAGAACTTATTTGTTTATTTAACATTTGAATAATGTAACAAAATGAATAAACATTAAATCTACTGTGATGTGGTGATTACATCACAATGATTGTGAAAACCATCTGGCTACTTTCCATAGGGTCCCGACCCCTTCTTTGGGACCCCTGCTTACAATGGTATAATATATAAATGGTATAATATAAATGGTAGCAGGAGGTAATCTGCTGCACCTGGTCCTTTAATCTGGGGAAACTGGTTTTGGAAAGTGCTTGAATTGAATGTAAAGGTGTTTAAAACCTGAGAAAATTTTTCTACTTATTTGGTCTCATCTTGACAGAAATAAATTATTCCTGTTGGAAAATAACATTTATCCATAAAGCTTCATCCATGATTTGATCTTTGATTTATTTCAATCATTATTTCCAGTATTTTAGAGAATAAAAGTTGTATTCATTATTGCTGATGCTGTGATGTTGACTCTTGAGGTTTTCCTCTTCTTTCCGGTCCGCTTTCAGAGGAAGAGAGAAAGCAGCTCAGTGCTGTGGCAGATGCGCAGACAGCTGCTGCTGGAACTGGTGGCCATCCTGCCACGCTCGCGCAGCACACACGTGCCCAATGACGCTAACATGGAAGACGAGAGTGGTTCGGGTTACTCTGGTCTCAGGGAGGAGCACGTGGTGAAGGCCAGCGCTCTGCTGAGACTTTACTGCGCGCTCATGGGCATCGCTGGTCTCAGGTGAGAGGCATTACACCTGCGCCCTTTCTTTCTGGTTCCACAGTCAGTGTTTAGCCTCTTTTAGAGCCCTCAGATGTTTCAAATAAAACAGTTGTGTTGTTAATTGGACTCGTCTTCAGGCCTACGGATGAAGAAGCAGAGCAGCTGCTGCAGCTGATGACCAGCCGGCCTCCAGCCACTCCTGCTGGAGTTCGCTTCGTTTCTCTGTCCTTCTGCAAACTGCTGGCCTTCCCCACCCTGGTCAGGTACTTCAAGTTATTATTCTCTATGTTTTGCAGCATGCACTTTTTACTAACAGCCCCATTTAGACTACCCTTTTGAAACCATGCAGAGATCGGTCCGAGCACAGTAACCGAGATAACTGTTGAGTCTAAATGGTACGCAGAACTGAACCGGACCATACCAGATACAAACGAACCACGCTAACATGGTACTAGATCCTCAGTAGGGCTCAGCGTGGTTCAGTTCTGGCTTGGTTCTCAGATAACAAAAAACTTGTGAGAAGACCGCATTATCTCCTTACAGTCAGCCTCCGTAATCATTAAATTTCAGACATTCGTAAAAATACTAGCTTCCCTACCTCGCCACACGATTTCCACTAATGAGCAATATAATTAACCTCAACGTCTGTCGTTGCTTCCTGCGTCTGTAAGCCCTGATTAGACCATCTAGGCTAGGCTGCCTTCTTCATCTGACTCTCTGCAAACTTCCTGAATGTTATGGGCTCCACCAGATTAATTTGTTTGTTCACCTCTAGAGAGCGGTAGTACAGTAGATCATCACTAGGAGGCAAGGAACCGTGCTATCATGCAATGTTAACTGATCCAAATTCGGCACGGATCGGTTTGCAGAGGGTAGTGTAAATGAGGCTTCTTTCTGCAAACAATGGGACTTCATTAACATCACCTGAGTCTGTTTGCAACCATGTTGTTCTATTTTCTTTGAAATGTTGGTCTTATTTCTCACATTTATTGCATTGCTCCTAATTTGTGTGTTTTTTGTAGCACTCCAGAGCAAGAACAGCTCATGGTGATGTGGTTAAGTTGGATGATCAAAGAGGAGGAATATTTTGAAAGGTAAAGTCTTTCACATATGCTTTTGTTTACAGTTTGTCAGAAGCTCTTTATTAGACTACAATTGCCTAAATAAAGGCTGCAGTTAGGGTTGACAGAAATGTCGAAACTTGATTCAATTCAGTTTATTTCTATAGCGCCAATTCACAACGGATGTCATCTCAAGGCTCTTTACAATTCAATCAGATCATACAGTCAAATTGAATTTTTCTGTTTAAGGAAAACCAGTTGGTAGCATCGACTCATCGACTCTAAGGCAATCCCTCACACTAAGCATGCTTTTAGCGACAGTGGAGAGGAAAAACTCCCCTTTAACAGGAAAAAAAACATATTGATACTTAAAGGCAGTACCCTTTTAAGTGTTTGTTTATTTTGTAATTAGTAACTTCATATTTCTGGATTTTTGCACATTAAAACAATACCTGAGATGATTTTCAAATATTGTGAAATGTCGTTAATGTGGGTAATTTGTGTTGCACTGTTATCTGTGATATTATTGAGAAATGAGTTCAGTGTTGTGGTTGGGATAAGCTGAGTTCATCTTAATAGAAATATTATTTTTTTGCCTTTAATTATCTATATTTTTCATTCCCACGGTATTAGACATGGTCTTTGAGTCTCGTATATTTTCCTTGTTGTCATTATTGAGAGAAACTTTAGCTGCAGCTATTGATTCTTTTATTAATCAATTTATTTACTGATTATTTTTTGATTTATCTTAAAGGAGACCTTCTATATTTTAAGAGCATTTTTATAGGATAAAACGTGTTAAAAATAAAAACCCAATCTGATTCTCAGAAATTTTATGTGAGGAGTTCTGGATTTATCCTCTTTAAAGATTAAGGAGGGTTTCTGGTCTTAAAAGTGAAATATATTTTCTTTACCTACAGTTCTGTATTTATTGCTACACTCTTCTAAAATTAGTTATTATTTCAATATTAATGTTTACCTCAATGATTAATCAGATTTTTTCAGACCAAATAAATGCCGTTTTGTCTGCGATGTTTAAAGAAAAGCCTCTTTGAAACCTTAAAGCTTCTTAAACACAACTTGAACCTTTCATGATACTAAAAACTCCAAACTTTCCCCTGAACGTGGCTATAATTAGAAACCTTGAGAAACTATTTTTCCCTTTTAATGTAAAAAAAAACCAAACCTTGATCAGCTTTTGTTTATTTCCAGGTGCTGAAAACAAGAATTAGACTTAGACTTAAACTCAACTGTTTATATCCCTTGGGGTTACTCCTTCAGGGAAATTCTGGTTCCATTACATTATTTAGAGTACAAAGAGGTAAAGCAACATGCCATTAAATATGAAAATACAGCAGACATTATAAAAAGAGTGTATATAGTACAAAAGAGCATAAAAAAGAGAAAAAGTTGTAATTTCCTGGAATATGTTTCCCTTAGATATAAAAGTATCTGCACAGTAGAGAGCTAAGGGAAAGACTACGCAGTATTTGATTTGGATTATTGCACTTGTACTGCAAAAATGTACTGACCATATCAATAAGTTCAAAGTTACACAGACTATACAGTAGTCGGCATGTGTTTATTGCACAGTGAGAGAAAAGAATCTCACACATGAGTGACAATAGGTAATGTTTTGCATAGGATGTCCAAGGAGGGGGGTGCTGACCTTTGTCCCTCCTCCTGTCACCTCCTCCTTCCTCCAAATGAGGAGTTGTACAGCTTGATGGCTTTGGGAACAAATGAGTTCAGCAGGCTGTTGCTCCTGCATTTGGGGAGGAGCAATCTCCCACTGATCAGGCTCCTCTGAGGGGTGAAGACGAGCAGAAATACTGTCTGATTCAGAAGGATTCAAGCTGTTCTGATTCCAGAATAACATCTTAAATATCAATTATAAATTACTTTTTCTATTTTCTCTTCATCTACTCTTTTGAGTTTGACCTTTTAACTTTAGAGGTTCTCGAATTAATACTCACTGGTTTTATAGTTAGACTTTACTGGAAGCGACAGACATTTGGCCCAGTTCGCTCTACAGACTTTAGACCTTTGATTTCTTTTGCTTCTTATCAATGGGTTGTTATTTAGTGGGATTATAATATTTAATTTAATTCTTATGCTAAACATATAATTATTAATAAATAGATAGTGGGGAAAAAAGAAAGAAAACAGTCAGATTGTTTGCTTCTCTTTACTTGCTCTATAGTATTGTCTGTTTGTAAAGAAGGTCCTCAAACAGAAGCTAATGCTGGCAAAGATTCTCAATCATCCAGGTCAGAGTCATTCCAAAAAAGTAAAAAAAAAAAACTATCCATATAACATCCATACAATCATATAACGTTTCTCTTTAATTAATAATAATAATAATAACATAAACTAATGATATAATAAAATTTTTCAGGAAATTAAAACAAAAACAAAGAAAATGAACAGCTCTTTGTTAATTCCAAAACAAAAAGAAAACTAAAAACAAACCACTGGACTTGGTTTCTAATTTTGAAGATGTTTTGCTTCCCATCCAGGAAGCTTTTTCAATTTAAAATGTCAGAATTAGCGTTGAGTTTGAAGCTTTAAGTCAGTGGTCCCCAAACTACGGCTCACGGGCCGGATCCGGCCCACCTCCACATTCGGTCCGGCCCCCTGAACAATACCAGAGAGTATTTTCATATAAGTGTTTTTTTTTTTTTTTTTTTTTGTATTTGATAATAAAGTTGGACATTTGCAATAAAATGTTCCTTAATTATGAAGTTTTTCATTATTGACTATTAGTAACTGTTTCATACACCCAAATAACGTGACAATGTTCCACCCTTTTGGGGTCTGTGCCCCTATCTGAAAACCCCCAGCAAAAAATCTTAAACCCGCCCCTCTCAAAGAGATACGGAAGAGGATTAGGGCCATTCAAAAAAATAATAGTCTATTCAATTCTGACTTTTTTCTCAGAATTCTGACTTAAATCTCAGAATTCTGAGACAAAAGTCAGAATTTTGACTTTTGTCTCAGAATTCTGAGGAATAAAAAGTCAGAATTGAATAGTCTTTTTTTCTTTTGAATGGCCCTAATCCTCTTAAAGGTAAAGAGAGAACGGAATTAGATTAGATGAGCTTTATTGTTCTCTCAGCGGAGAAATTCACTGGTATTGGCATAGTAATTAAAGAAGGTGCAACAAGGAGGAAAAAGGTGCATTAGGAATATATATATATATATATATAGTATATCAAGGTATATACAGTATATCAAGATAAATAAGAATTAAGGTGCAAGTGTACATTTATCACACACAATCAAAAACAAGTTAAAAATAAGAAAAAAAAAATAAAATAAAAAAATAATGGCGAAAAGATTAGGTAAGAGAAAAATTGATTCAGAATGCAGGGTATTTAACCTGAATTGGACAAACGATTATTTTTTGGTTCAATGCAAAGAAAAGGCTGTCTGTCTCATCTATCAAGAGGCGGTGGCGGTATTCAAAGAATATAACCTGCAGAGACACTATGAATCCCGTCATAAAGACATAAATCCCGTCAAAAATTTAGGCACTATTGCAACCGTCACAATTTTTCTATTACAAACTGACCCTGGCTCCTCCTCAGAGAAGGGAAAAGTTATGTGGCCCTCACAGGAAAAAGTTTGGGGACCCCTGCTTTAAATAGTTGCCCAAAAACTTGTTTTAGCTTAGAAAACATGCAAATTGAACCAGAAGAACGGGTCCATCCCTTTGGAATGGGGGGTCGTTTGGGTGCTTTGTTAGCCTGCAATACTCAGTAACGGTCTAAGCTGAGTCTTGTCTCAGCTGAGCTTTGAATAGGATATTGCTGTTTGGGTCAGTTGATGATCCGGTTCATGTTTCTTGAGAAATAATACAGCCTCAGTTTATTGAAACTAGTAGAAGTACTGAAGAACAGGTAAGATGGCTGCATAGAGAATAAAAACGTCCTTGTTGTGACTTTAGGGTAGAAACTGCAGAATTTCTCCACTTACAGGCTCCACACTGATGATGTTTCTGGAGTGGGAGATTGTTGCAGGGAATATGTTATATTTAAAATTCAATCCTGGATTATGCACCAAACCCGATGCCCATCCCCGGCCGCTTCTCATTGCATATTTGTGCTTGTGTGTCTTCTTCCTTACAGTGCTGCAGGCGTATCGGCTTCTTTTGGAGAGATGCTATTACTGGTTGCCATGTATTTCCATAGCAACCAGCTCAGCTCCATTATTGAGTTGGTGTGCTCTACTTTGGGGATGAAGGTAAGGTGGGGGGGAGTCTTGAATCAATAAATCTGTCTGACTGACCAGGTAGTGCCCTCCCGTCTGCAGCAGCAGTGCATACAGACTAAACGCTAATGAAACACTTGCAGCCTACATACGTCAAACAAGATGCATCATACCCTGTGGCCAATTTGCCATTTTATTACTTATTAAGTGAACTATTGTTTCCTCCCTGTGTCCTAAGTAGTTTCCCTGTCTCAGTGTGTTTTCCACTAAGATGTGTAATGTAATTGGATTTAGAGCCTGCTTGTTTCCACCCCCAGGGCATTCCTTTCAATTCAGTGCTCTGCCTGCCATGTAGAGTTTTCTTATGAAATATGAAAGGAGGGAATTACAAAATACCAGCGCTGCTGCCTGCAAGTTGTTTTCACTCCTATCCAGCCTAACGCCGTCGCTGTTTCTCATTGTTTTTTTCTTTCTTTTGGTGTTGTTTTTGTCCGGGGGGTGTTTATCTTTTCACAGATCGCCATCAAGCCGAGCTCTCTGAGCAAAATGAAAACTATCTTCACTCAGGAGATTTTCACCGAACAGGTATTTATGCTCTCCATCCGTCCCCGTGTGCATTTCCCGCTCACAGTTATTAAACAGCCTCCTTTCCACAGCGACGTTAAAAACATAAGGACACCCAGCCTCTCTATGACAGGGGCCCCTAACATTTCAGCCTGTGGCCCCTCCCAAACAAACAATGCAACAGACTGGTGACCCCCCCAACATGAAAATATAGAAATCATAAAGAAATTCATTTTAAAATAAGTTTTTTTTTCTTTTATATTATTATTTTTGTATTATTAAACTTACATATTATTATGTATAATTTTTTATTTGATTCTTTAAAATGTAGTATTGATAATGAAATATGTAATTTCATTATTGTGAATTAAAAAATTTATTGGATACATTTTATATCGAAATTACTTGTGAGATAAAAAAAGAAATGTGACATCTACTTATTTCAAGGTACGATATATACTTTAGCCTTTCATTTACCTCAGAAACCACATCACAGTGATGTAATAACCATCTCAGGACCTTCCACTTGGTACCTCTTGGCCCCCTGTGGGTTCCCAACCCCCATTTTAGGAACCTCTATGGTGTGATATGTGGAAAAATAATGTTTTAATATTAGTTTTAACAGCCACTATAGTTTAAAACATGCTTGTTTCTGCCTTTAGGAAGAAAGAGTTTTATTTTTATGTATAGAAGGAGATAAATGTGATGGCCAGAAAGAAGTTTGCCCTAGAAAATATAAGATAAGTATTTGACACCAAACACTGAATTCTAGAAAAGTAGCTTCTTGCCAGCTCTGCTGCATGGCAGCAGAAGTGTCATGGTTTGGGGATGCTTTTCTGCAGCAAAACCCAGCCAGTTCACATGGAGGTAGAAATGGTAACCCTGAGCCGGACCGAAGCTCTAATCTCTAGCAACTTTCCTCAGATCGATGTCACACATGGTTAGAGGCTAAAAAACATCTCACTGATATTATTTCAGCTGAATGGAGTGAGAGGAACTTTTGGGAATCATGAAAATAACTTTGTCCTCAATTACATTATCCTTTTCTTAAATCTTTGGTTAATTGTTGATATTTACCTTTGATTAAATCTTTTTCACAGAGATAAATAAAAGTTTAACTTAATGCTGATCTGTTTGTTTCCTTTAAAAGAGCAGAAACTTTAATGGGGTTTTAAAATTCTCCCCATGACCTAAAATGAATTTGATCCTTCTGAATAATTAAGTTCAGGTATTTGGAAAATTTCAAAATGTTTAGTTGACTATAGATAAAGGCTCTAGGAATAAACCAAACGGTCACCAGATAGGTCAAGATGTTCAGACGATCGTTTCAGAAAAGAAGCTGGAAGATGATGAGAGGCAGTCAGTGAGCTGATGGATAAAGTGTTGTGTTGTTTCTGTGAAGGTGGTTACAGCTCACGCTGTGAGGGTCGCGGTGACCAACAACCTGAGTGCCAACATCACAGGATTTCTTCCCATCCACTGCATCTACCAGCTGCTGCGGAGCAGAGCCTTCACCAAGCACAAAGTTTCCATTAAGGTAGATCTAACGCCGACGATATGACGACGTTCAGTCAAGGTTAAACGTTGCAAACCATGTCGGCTTTCTCTTAATGTTTCTTAAAACGAAGGTACTTAAAGTATTCTATACTTTTTTTTAGAGTTGATAGTGTTCACTTAGCTTCTTGTTAATGATTAATGCTAACATGTCTCTGAATATGACCCAACAGGCTGGTTTCTGTTAGACCCTGGCCTCTATTTGAATTAAGCCAATACACACAGCAGGCGGGGGGGTTAATGAAATCTTAAAAGCTCACTGTTACGCAAATGCAGAGAGGAGGGGGACTTTTGGGTCAAGTGTTGGTCATTAGTAAAGCATTGCCCCATAAAAGAAATGTTTTCTTTGCTGTAGTAAGAAACTCAATTCAATTCAGTTTCTATAGAGCCAATTCACAACACGTCATCTCAAGGCACTTTGAATTAATTTGACTGGATGATCTAGTTGAATTGTAAAGTTTTCTATCTAAGGAAAACCAGTTGATTGATTTGACTCGTTGGCTCGAATGCAATCCCTCACACTAAGCATGCTTGTAGTGACAGTGGAGAGGAAAATTTCCCTTTTTATAGGGAGAAACCTCAAAATGGCAAAATGGCAGCCCACTGCTCCCAAAGGGGATGGGTTAAATGCCGAGAACTAATTTTGTTGCTCTCTACTCGTGACAGTGTAATAACAATAACAGTTGCATTCTATTCTTACTTACCGATGACTGATTTCACCTATTCACTGCAAACACTCATCTGAAAATAAGTAACCATTCATTAAAATTAGTCTATTTAGGCAATAAATAAGATGATCTGCCAATGGAAAGAGTCTTTTTGCCTTAATAACTTAGATAATTACATATTATCCCCCAGAATAAGATAATGGAGTTTATTTTAATTGTGAATCATCTTATTATCTCAGCAAATTATCTTGCTCATCTGCTCAAAAAAAGGAAAAATACATTTCTTTCAAAATGGGCTTGGTAGATTTCATTTTTTGCATTGTAGCAACAAACATGCTTGGTATGAATATTTGGAATAAGACTTGGAGCCAAATGTTCCACATGGTGGAGGATCAGTGATGCTGTGTCTTTCAGTAAATGTTTTTGTGTTTAATATGCTGGTGAAGATTCTCAGTCCTCCAGGTCATAGTCACTGCAAAAAGTAAAAAAAAAAACAACCTTCTGGACTTTTTCCAAGTTTGAAGACATTTTGCTTCCCATCCAGGAAGCTTTTTAGATTCAAAATGTCAGAAATAGCGTTGAGTTCAAAGCTTGATAAAGTGGACCAAAAACAAAGCCTTGTTTTGGCTTCAGAAAACATGCAAATTGAACCGGACGAACAGATCCGCCCCTTAGGAATGGGGATCGTTTGGGAAGTTCTAATACAGCACAGTTGGCTCCACCAGAGGCATCATGAAATCCTTAAAACCCCAGGAGATTTTAAAATGAGCTCACTGTTTGTGAACCTTCCAGGACTGGATCTATCGTCAGCTCTGCGAAACCACCACGCCAATCCACACCCAGCTGATCCCGCTGATCGACGCTTACATCAACTCCATCCTCACTCCAGCATCCAAGGCCAACCCTGAGGCCACCAATCAGCCAATCACTGAGCAGGAGATCCTCAACGTCTTTCAGAGTTCTGCAGGGGTGAGTCGGTCCTGATCAGTACCATCAATAAAACTGATCTCAAAAAAGTAAAAAAAAAAAATGTGGTGTTGGAATTCCAAAGAAAATCAAGATTTATTGATTTTCCTAAAACTTTTAACTGTTTCCAACCAATGAAGAATAATATAAAAGGCATTTAGTACATTCCTTAAAGGAAACGTCCAGTCGGCAAGGAATGATCAATGGATCATTATCTATACCTAAAACTAATACGTTCACTGTGATTTAATGAATTTAGTGTTAATCAGTAAGTTAATCACTGAGTCTGGGGGCGGCAATTTTTGCCCAAAAATATTAACACGTCACTCCTGACATCTTCCGACAGTGACGTCACGGTGCGGTAAGCCTAGCGCCATTCTCCCCGCTTTACAAGCTAAATCAATGGGAACTACTAGACACATCTGCAATCAACAACAATTATTGAAGATTTCCAGAGGACTTCACCATTGAAATTCACCAGAGCTATAGTTCATCGAGTAAAAGTGAAAAATAAAATTATGTCACCTG